AGCATTCTGTTATGGTGATGAGTGATCATAATCGGCATTGAATGATAAACGGCTTTACATTTTAAACACCTTTTACAAATTTCACCCGGGTACTCTGATCACATTAAGGTAAGAACACCCTGGAATGAATCTAATCATCACAGTTCTAGTGACACACATTTGTGCCAGACTGAAATGGGAGCCCTCATCCTTAAATATTGTTTATATAAATAAGTTGACAGAAAGAAATGTTGTCCTATACAGCAGCACACAGAAACACACTAAATAATGTCTGTATCAACAGGTAACTGAAGATGATTCCCATTATGAACTCACATTAGCCTTGAGTAAAGCATGCATCTTTAATGATTCACTTTTTTATTATTCTAATTTCTATTCCAAAGTGTCAGGCAGCTCCTGCTGATTTCATGCTCTCAGATGTGCAGCCAACAAATACGGTTTAATTTTTTCCCAGTTCCTCCTCATGGTCACTCAAGAAGAGTTTTGATCCTCTCTCAGACCACACTATACTGTAAAACCCAACTCATTTCAATTGAGGAAACCGGTTGCCTCAATTCAATTAAGTTTAGAAACCAATAGTTATGAGTACTGTGAACTTATATCATTCATCACAAAGAATATTTCCTAAAATGCAATTAACCTCCACTCAATTATTTGTTATAACTGAAACTAAACTCTAACATCTTAATTTTATAACACTGACTCGTCACTACTAGATAGCAGATGCTAGCTATTAATCAGGCTAAAGCGCACATGTGCTAATATAACAAGAGACTGCATCAGCAAGTACCAATACTACTCACCAGGTAATATAGAGGTAGTCTTAACATGCTCGACTTAAAGGGATAGTTCACCCAAAAAATGAAAATTTGATGTTTGTCTGCTTACCCCCAGGGCATCAAAGATGTAGGTGACTTTGTTTCTTCAGTAGAACACAAACAAAGATTTTTAACTCAAACCGTTGCAGTCTGTCAGTCTTATAATAGAAGTGGATGGGAATCACGGCTTTGAGAGTAAATAAAAAACCATACACAAACAAAACCAAATTTAAACCCTGCGGCTCGTGACTATACATTGATTTGTTTTTTTTACCTCTGATGCACTGCAATGTCTGAACTGTACTGAGCGCGTCCTGAGCGCGTCCTCGACAGCCGGCACCTGATGCATCTTCTTCTTATTATTGCTTTACGGTGTATCGCAGACTTATAAGTGCATTACCGCCACCTATCTCTCAAATGGACCACTGACACTCCTAATTGAGATTGTAGATAGAGTGTCAATGGTCCATTTGAGAGATAGGTGGCGGTAATGCACTTCTAAGTCTGCGATCCGCCATAAAGCAAGAAAAAGACGCGTCATGCGCTGGCTGTCGAGGACGCGCTCAGGACGCGCTCAGTACAGTTCAGACATTGCAGTGCATCAGAGGTAAAAAAAACAAATCAATGTATCGTCACGAGCCGCAGGGTTTAATTTGGTTTTGTTTGTGCATGTTTTTTTTTTACTCTCAAAGCCGTGATTCCCATCCACTTCCATTATAAGACTGACAGACTGCAAAGGTTTGAGTTAAAAATCTTCGTTTGTGTTCTACTGAAGAAACAAAGTCACCTACATCTTGGATGCCCTGGGGGTAAGCAGACAAACATCAAATTTTCATTTTTGGGTGAACTATCCCTTTAACCAAAGGCTCTACGCAGAATGGTATTCACCCAAACCTCATAACATAACAGACATAAAACCCAACATAACAACAAACACTAACAGATCTCCCCTTATATTAATCGTGTGCAAAAAACAAATAAAATAACATTTAATTTCAACATTTACACTCCCATTTAATCTCAAGCAAAGCATGCTGGGAGCTAGAAATCTGCTGTAATGTATTCCATTTGAGTTCTTCTTAATATAATCAGTTACGGAGTTCACATATCTATCAAGTGCAAAGAACTTTCAGTAATATTTGAGTAAAATTAACTCATTTAATTTAATAAACTTGACTGTTAGGTTTGACAGTGTGCCATTTTTCTTAATCTGAAAGAGGCTGACAGTCCTAACACAAGTGATTGACAGCAAAGATCTGCAAATATGCATGTTAAAGATGTGATGGACAACCAGTTGTTGACTGCTCCTTTGTTCACAGCACGTATCAACCTCTTTCGATTCAATTCCTTTATGAGTCCTGAAATCTTAAGGGAGTCAGTTGGTTATAAAATGTGGTTGTGTAACTCTTTCCTATACCGACACCTCCTAAATATTCAACAATTAAGCTCAAATACCACTTTCTAACTAAATAACAGCCTAATCAGTGCACACTGCACAGTGCACAGTGTGATGACCTTTTGCGGCATTATTTCTTATCAAAGTAATCATACAGAGTTAGTAGTTAAGAGGTTTAATACTATTAAGTAAAATGTTTACAGACAGACAGACAGACAGACAGCTAGACATATAGAGAGTAAACAAACTTTGTGAATGCTCATTTGAATCTCCTAGCGATAGTTCTGAAACCAAAGATTAAAGTTGCACATTTGCCCATCTAAATTTTGGTCAATGTATAATCATAATGATCTGTATATTAAACATACTATGGACAAACAACAAGGAGAACATTGCAAACACATACATGGATGTCTTACCTTTGTGCTAACGATACATAAACAGTCCATTCTTCAGAGCGCGACCTCTCAGCATCTCATTCCAGCTGCTCTAATCCTGTCGCTAAAATATGCGAATACATGCATGAAAGCATTGGGCGCGCGACAGGAACTTGCTCTCAGTTGAGCAAACAACATACGCATCCACATACTCAAAGAAGTCAAGTCTGCATCACCTCATGTTTCCTTTCCGCGGCAGTGTTTCGGGGATGCTGAGGAGGAGGAGGACGCCTGCACTCATATTGACGCGCGTTCAGAGTTGATAGGAGCACCACGGGGAGACTGACCAGCATAATGTGCTCCCCTCACCTCTGAATGCGCGCACTCCAACAGCACGTCACTGTGTGGGTTAAAACGCCTCTGCCCTGCAGTTTCAACATCAACCAGTGGACTTTACGTTTTGCAACCAAAAAAATTGCTAAATGTTTGCAATGTTCCAACTCCGTAGACAGGGTCCTTAAAATTCACAATGACGATGATAAGCAAACAACAAGACGTAAAAGCTGAACTGATTCATGTTATTAATCAAGTAAGCAGGTTTGTTTTTATCGTGTTATGCTGAGATATAATGTATCAGTGATTTTTTTCCCCAATTAAACATATTAACCCTTAAAAAAAAGCAAAAATACTAAGTATACTAATAGAGATACAGAGAGAGAGAGAGAGAGAGAGAGTAATATTTTTTTTTAAAGAATATGGTTCTGTAATATTATCAAGAAAGCTATAGTAAAATCCTAAAATGTTAGAAATATAAAATAAAATTTATTACGCATGTTATTACATTAAACTCAGAAATATTTTTCTGATCATTAAATATTTTTCTAGACATGTTATGCCCAATTCCTGTTACTTACATGCTTTCAAAATCACAGTGGAGATACAGAAGTTTGAAATAAATAATGAAACACCACAAAGCTACATCCTCTATGCCAGTGGAGACATTCAAACACTCATCTGGTTCATCTGAGACTTCATAGAAATTAGTTTTATGCATTGTTAAAACACTTTCTATTCACAGCATGGCACATCACTTCCAATCCCAACAGAAGGAAAATCTACCCACTCTCTAGAATGTGAACAACAATTTAAATGAAAAATGCATGACCAACCCTTATCAGATTTAAATTAACATTATTAAATAAGATAACGCTTAATGTTCTGCATTTAGTGTCACAGAACTCCAATGTACTATTTTGGAGCAACACATTTAAATCAGTCAGAGGTTTAACACTTCACACGCTCAGCATCATGAACTTTAATTACATCCTTAATTATCTTTCAAGCACAAGTTTAACAAGTACTGGATGTCCTGAAGTAGGTTTACCAGAGCTGAATCATTACCATGACTTCTGAAACTGACATTGACATGACAAAAGAGTGTCTCTGAATGATTTTATATAGAACCTCTGTATAAATATAGACACCAACTACAATTCAAGTTCTTTAGTTAAGCAATAAAACATTCACAATCATACGGTTTATCCAAATATCATTACAGCTCAATAGTGAGCAGAGGCCGGGGGCTAGAGTGAGGAACGGCCGGAGGGCTAGAGTGAGTGAGTGAGAGAACGGTGCAGCCGGCGGATTCGACGAAGGAGCGTCCGGCGGGTTTGCAGCAACCACATGTGACGACCCCGGGCTGGACTCCGCTTCGTCCACGGTGAAAGCCGATCCGGCGATCCACAGCGCGAAGTTGATGTATTTCCTCAGCGACCAGCATGGATCAGCTCCAGGCATGACGAAGTGATATCGTCCTCTTTTGGAAGGCCAAACAAAGTAGTTTCGCTTTCACAACGAAACACACAGCGCCTTCACGACATGGCGGCGTTATGCAAATCTCACATCGTGACATAGACATGTTGGGGGCGTGTTAGAACGAGCCGTTTTAGGTAGGCGTGGGTGACTCTTAACTTTTATAAAGAACATCTCTTTGGATTTGAGACTTTAGTCTTTGCAACTTTACAGATCTTCTTTATGCACCAAGAGCTTGTAACACTCCAAAGAGAAAGGAAAAATTGAAATCGCATCATAGGACCCCTTTAATGCTATGTAACTTACATTTTAAACAGTTACCTTGTGTATTTTTGATCTGCCAATGCAAATAGTTCCTACATACCCAAAGTAGTGACCATTGCGTGCCTTTAAGCTACAGTTTAGTTTCAGAATTAATCTGTTTTAAGAATGAATCACTGCATGAAAAATAATTGCTTCCGCAAGAATAAAGACTGCACCAACAATTGTCATAAACACCAGCAATTACTCTAAAACCAATAATGGCATTCAAGAACCACATACGGCATACAGCAAATATGCACCTCTGAGAGGTATATACATCAATGTTCTGCTTACCTCTTTGCTTTGGGCATTGACGCTGGGCACAGTTTCTGTTGGTCCAATGGTACTGGGAGGGCCAGTGAAATTCCATTCATTAACTGGAGGAAAAGGTTCGCTAGTTTTAAGGCTTGACGGCTCTATGGGCTTATCCTCATTATCCTGGAGGCTCACTTCATAAAATTCCTGGATATCTGAAAGAATTATGAGGTTGCATAATGAAATACATGTAATTAATAAGCCACCAACAGAACTATAATCCCTACAAATGTTTACAGAACCAAAGTCAGAATCAAAGATACAAACTTTTATGAAAATGCAGATTTCACATTATTTGCACTTTGATGCCTTACTAGAACAAATTTAAAACCATTTTGCAGGTACTCATTTACATGGCCATGTGTAAATGGATAAGAATGAGATCCGTAAAAACATGAGCAAGTGTAAATACATTAATGATGTTTAACCTCAAAATTACAACCTGTATATGGCTTGAAGTCCTAACATTGCAAGACCGGAATTTGTTGTAGCCTGACTCCTATCTTACGTAACAATGATAAAATTACTGATAAAATAAGTACTAGTGCAGCCAGAGTTCATTTAGGTGTAGATTTCAGATAAGCCAAGCCCAAATTGAATTCAGACCGCATCAGTCTTACTCTTACGCTATCAATCACTACAAAGAGTCAGTGGCATCATACTCGTTTTGTGTGTGTGTGTGTCTGGATCTAATAATTTATTCAGAAATACATTAAACACATACAAATGATGACTTGAATACATGTGCTCCTTTTTAAATTACAGTTCAGTTGTATATTGTTCATGAGTCATCAAGTCAAAAAGTCTAGCTAGTGTATCAGTAAAAGTTTAGTGGTGGTAACCAGATGGTTACTGGTTGGTGCAACTGACCACTTGAGAAAGGCATGTTGCTCTGGGGTGATTGTCCTTACAAATACAATACAATAGACTTTTTAAAAGTTGTTTTGGATAAATGCATCATGGATAAACAGTTATAGACTACTGCTACTAAATTTTACATCAAAAATAATGGCTGCACCAAGGAGTCATCTATTGACCATTACACTTTCTTCAATACGGCATTACAAAATTTAATTGAAAAAAAACAAATTGCATTCATGTTTACATTTTCTAAAAGTATTGCACACCATGTCTACCCACACATAGCAGCAAACATGTACGGAACATATTGAGGACTTCTGTGTGCAGTGGAGTGAGATTCTGATTAAGTCATGTTTAAAAACAATAACATTCTTTAAAATTTTCAGAGATACCGGAGTCTCCATAAATGTTTTCAGTCAGATGGACAAATAATAACACCATGAAACATGAATACTCTTTACGGTTGTAAACAGCACTTCTCTGGATTCATGCAGAGTCCAGGCCAAACTAAACGATGGGAGTTTAAATCGTGGAAAAATAATGGTAGGGATGCGCTGAGATGTAACCGTCTGTTCACAGCAAAACATTAACTGAATAGAGCAATGATGCATTTCAAATGCCTCTTAATTAAGTACTAAAAGACTTTAGTAAGTATGCACAACGGTGCTTTGATTTGTCCAGTGGGGGATATAAGGATGTTCTAAATTACAATAGGGTAGGCCATACTACACTCTAAAAATCTGTTAAAATATGGCGCAATGTACTGTATTATTATGATCCATATAGATTTTTTATAAGTGTTTTATCTGTATTTTGAATTTTGTACTGCATTGCATTGTGTTTTAGTTAACGGAAATGTCTGTAATATTAATGGATATTAATTTTCCTGGCAGAAAATTACCAGTACATTTTCCATTTTTAACAGTACTGTAAACAGTTTACAACTGCCACAGATTCATTACAAAATCTATTTTTCAAAAATATCACACCACAACCTTTTTTGAAGATGCCCACTAAAGTCAGTGCAAAGAGCAGCCAGTATAAAACAAATATACAAAAACATTCCAAGTTCTTTTTATAGCTATTTCTGGATATGTTCTGTTGGCCTTTTTTAACAGTAAAACGCTTATCACCACCAATTTCCTCTTCCATTTTATCTTAACTGCATAAACTCCCAAAAGAGCCTGCTTAAAAAGGAAACTCAAAGGATTTTCCCAAATTGACAAAAATTTACTTGAAATTACTGCACATAAAACACTATTTGGACTGCATTCCCAGCAAATACAAGCCAAGGGAAGCCAAGCCTAGGAAAAAATAGGTCAAATAGATGAAATATTTTACAACTAAGCATAAAAAAAAACGAACAGAACTTTCCATTCCTAAAACTTTTCAACTTTTTATATTTTAAGTGTCTTTTAGAAGAAAAACAAAATATTTAAATTGCAATGTGCAAACACTTTATTTGCAGTAGAATAAGGGGGGGGGGGGGGGACTGCTGTGATACATCATTGAAAATGTCAAACTTGTCAAATGATGAAGTCAAACCTGTTCCACGATCTTAGCACAACAAGACAAGTGTTAAGAAACTTCCTTGAGGAAAACATGTTTGTTCTAGCAGCAACTTACCTATGAGGGACTGGAAGAGTGTACTCTGAAATATATTTATGACTCTCTCAATTGAATGTCTGAGATGAGGGTCTCCAGTCTGACTGAGTTTCGTTCGGTATTCCTCCAGAAGCTGCAGTGCCCTCTGAGCATCTGAAAAACACATTATAAAAACCCTGCTGAGAAACACTGGCCAAACATAAAGTAAAAATATATTTTAAAATATATTCAGAATACATTTTGTCCCATAACTTATAACTTATATATTAAAATACTGGCTACACAGCATTTTAAATATGCACATTTTAAAGAAACTTTACCTTTCTTTCTCACTGGCATGATCAAGGCTCAAAGATTCAAAGTCCCACAACTGTTAAAGGGCGACTGCTGTAAACCATTGGAATGAATGACTGATCACTTTCACTTTCAGTCGCGTCACTTCGATTTCGTTGTGATCAACAATCACCGGTGATCGCTGACCGGGTCAGACTGACATGTGAAAAGCTCGATATCAACAATCCTCCAATCCAATAAAACTGTTAGTGACCGCTTCACTCATAACCCTGTCAGATGCGGCAGGACCCCCGTGGACACTTTCAAACAACTCTCAACTTTGACAAACTTTCTGCAGAACGAATGAATGGAGTAAATAAGCAAATCGCAGCAAAGTGCATTACAAAGATTTGGTTGCAAGATTTGGTTTCCGATCTGTTGCAAAAGAAGTGGTAGAATAGACTGGAGTACTAATAATCCCTGCTGAAGTGCAGGTAAAGTTCACACGCAGACGGTTCCCGTTCATACATCTCTCCCGTTCCCCCCTGACTGGAGTCTTGGATCCTCACACGTCCGTAATCCAAATTTTTTAAGCGCACCACTTCCTCTTTCTTCTGTGCCCGAAATTCCCAAACTTTCCTGCAAAATGGCGACCTTGATATGCAAACAGATCACATGATCTACTGCCTTCCCTCTGCGCTCAAAGGAGTCAACGCTCAGGTTTCTTCACTCAGCTACTGCGAGAAAGCAGCCGGTGAAAGTGCTCTTTATTAAGTTTATCCTCACTTTAAGTAATGAAATCTGGAGAAATTATATAAGAACCATAGAACACCAATCTTGTTCAATGTATATGAGCTTACTGTGCTAGTACAGCAGAATATAGGCCTATATGTTTGTTGTTTAAATTTGTTTTAAACCAGCAAAGCAATTTGTATCTATATGGAGCATATAGGCCTATCCCACTCAGCAAAAACTCGTTGAAAAGACGTCGAAAAGACGTAATAAACCACGTTCATATTCGCGCGATTTTTTGCGCTGCTCATCAGTGAACAACGGCTCTGTGTAGTTAATGCTGCTCAATGTGAAAGCACGCAGGTGATGGAGATTTACCGCTGATTACAGAACCGGCTTTCTGACAAGATGCGCGTTAAATATCGCATGCGATTAATCGTGCAGCCCTAGTTTATAGTCTCTTGAACGGCCAGCTGGAATTATCAAAATCTACTTACTGATTGTCATTGGTACTATCACCCAGAAGTATAAAAATGAAAGACGACTTAGTCATTTTATTACACATCACTAAGTTCCATTTTTATGATTTGAGTGGAGTTCCAAGAGAATAATTCCTGATATTTTGTAAATAAATGGCTACTGGACATTTTACAACTTTTTAATTTCTGGTTTTTCATTTTCATTGAAAGAGAGACAATATATGCCATAACTGATCAATTTTAAATTAATTTTAAAGTTATTTGATATGAATAACTTTATAGAACTAAATTTTAATATAGGGACCCCAGAATAATAGGCCTACAGTACTTGAATAATATGTTCACATGTGCCTGCTTCAATGGAAAAACTGCACCGGTCACACATTATATGCACTCATTCACCACTATTTAGTGTTTTGTGAAAATAATTAACATATCTTTTAACTGTTTATTTTTGTACGTTTTTTTTTTTTTCAGATTGAGGCAACTTGTCATATTTGCATTGTGGCATCCAATCAAAGGCATACTGTTACCAGCAAAGACAAAGTCTGGCTAAGACTGGCTTTTGTTAGTTGTTTTGATGTTTGAAATGGCTTTTGTCAATTGCCTCTTGTGAAGGGTGGATGTCGAGTCACAGGGTGCTGTCACATTGCCACAGCTTGGGTGGGGTGAAGTCTGTCACACACAAAAAAAAACAGCGGTGTCTTTTTAAACACCCATTCGAGTCAGTGGTTATTTTCCAGAGCATTTCAGACACATATAAACTATGCTATGAATGACTGTACGAGCAGAAAATATTCACAGATTTACAATGATCCATTGAAGAAAAATGTGTGCAAATTGAAAGCCAACTGAATATTATGTTTGAGGATTATTTCCACAGTTCACACCACCCACACAATTCAACAAGCCTTGACTTGTTGTAGTGTCTTGTTATGCCTATAATGAATGTATTCTTAGTATACAAATTCTACTATACTGTTTCTTAGAACCTGATTCCCATAGCATTGCTTATGACCCAGACTGTATCATTAATTTGATGTTATTAAGTACTTGAAACCCCAGTTCACCTCTAATATGCATGTAGATTTATACTTTCAATTTCTTAATGATTTATGGAAAGTTACTTCTTGATTTTCAGGGCATGTTAAGTGAAGAGCTTTGACATGGAATGCATGGCTGTAACCGGACCTGAGCACTTGCAACCCTTCATTTTGAAGCAGGGGGCTTTACATCACATGGATTGTCTCATAATAAAGAGCATTTTAAAACACTATTGGAATATACATCAAGGGTATGTATAAGATTCATACATAGATCCAGAACATACATTTCAGACTACAGACCACCCACAGTCTGTTCACTGATCTCCAAACTACTGATACTGCAAGATTTAATCTGATTGGCTGGTGCTACACAACTTCTGGGATTAGTTCAACTGGAAACAGGGTTTACAGGGTTGATGCAATAAGCGCTTTTGAGGAATAACTCATTTCTGGATTTGGTATTCTGAGTTTCACTAAGTAAACTACTTAGTAAAGTGTATATTCCAGAACAGATATTCAATTTTGTTTTTGAGTATGTCTGTGAAACAATCTGGATGTATTACTTTTAGACGGACAGAATTGCTGAATCCAAATGACAAAATTTGCTCTTATTTTATTATGGGGTGCGGGTATCTGTACAGCTGGACCAACACTGCCATGCAATAGTTGTCTATAACCAGTCTGTTATTTTATATATCATGACATCAGATGAATCTGCACCGTGATTGGTCGTTTTTCATGTTGGTCAGACGAACTGTTTCTGTAGGTGGTTCTCGACCCAGACTTTATACTTTATACTGATAGATAGTCAAAAGTCTGGCTATGTGAGATTAGAAGCCGCTAACTTAAGAATGCCTTTTAACATACATTTTCTATGTAAATAGCACATCAACAAGGGGAGTGTGTGACAAAGTTAACCATAACAGTGCTACTGTATATAGCACTAGATCTTGGATTTGAAAGCTAATACAATTTATAGTCCCCTCATATAAGCCATAATATATATATATTTTACTGTAAATATGTTTATTGACAGAAACTGGGAGTATTAATGTATTAAATTAACCACAATTATTTTTGTGATTCCAGATGTTTCAAGAACAGTATGTTATTTAATAAAACAATAGTTGTGGTGGAAAATAAAAAGCGTAAAGGAAAAGAAATATTCCGTTTATGCCATTATTGTGTGTGTGATTTTTTAAAAAGCAGTTTAAGTTAGATTATTTGAATAAAACTTCATTTAAATCATTTTAAGTTGTCCTGCAGTCTCCTCAGAACTTTGCTTTTTGGGCCCAGACCCCTGATTGAGAACCACTGTTATAAAGTAAACAGCAATTATCATATGTGACTGTCTCATTGAATTGTATAGGCAGGCTAAAATGATTCTTGGCACCCTGGAAGCAATTAATCACACAACACTAATGATCCCAGTCAAAGAATGCTAGGAGATTATTGTCATCTCATTTCTCATCTCACCTTGCACTGGCAACTTGTTAGCAGCTACAATAGTGTCATATCTGACACTCAATTTCCATTAGAGGCACTTTCAGATTTTCTGCTCTCTGAATACATCTGATGTGATTTCTACAAACCATCACCCTGATGGTTATTATCAGATACATTTTTAAATGGGCTTCATATTATAATAAATGCATGATTTGTTTCATTAGATTAATAGTTTATATTGTATCAGTTCATGGACTTTCACCTTCATAGTGTCTGTTTAATGCCAATTTTAGACATTCTTTTGAAAATGCATGAATTTTTCCACTAGGCTTATTATATCAAACAATAATATGACTAGTAGCACTGCCTTTTTCCATTTAGTGGAATCCTTTGTGCTTTCTAGCATTGTGGTATGTCTGAAGATGGCAAGGTTTGAATGCTTCATATCAGACTCAGGAATAACAATAATAATCAAGTAATATGCATAAAAATTGTGTTTCATTTTCTTAAGCAGCGGTATTGCATCACTCAGAGTAGATCTCATTAGTGAGAAAGCAGATCCAGCAGTTAAGCTGCAGATCAGCAGCACTGACAAACTGTCTCATAGAAGCACATATCATGTCTGCACCTGTTATGGGTTTTCATTATTACAAATGAATGAATAACACTGAACAAAAGTCATTTGGGTTTAGTGACGACGTGGATTCGCGAAAGGTAGAACAAACTGTGAAGCATAGAAGCTCAGGTGGACACTTTCATTATATAATAAAAGCTGGTAAGATGTAAATCAAGTTATAATACACAGTATTACACGATCTGTTTTGGATATATTTATGAAAGTGTATTCTATTTATAGAAATACTCTATATTGTAATAGGTTTGATCATTCGTTGTGCAAATGTCTCTTTTGTTTTTCATTGATTTATAAAATCTAATAACTATATATAATTATAATTTAATTACCCAGTCAAAAAAATACACGTGGATGCATTAAGATAATGCAATATATGGAGTCAATATCCATTCATCCATTCGCTTGTTTGCTTGGCTGCAGGAGCCTGGGAGAAAATGTTGAGTTGTTAATTAATGTGTGTACTGACACCTTGTGGATACATTGATGCAGTTCTTTGCCTCTTATTTATGGTAGGCCTACAGTACATATGATGGCGAAAAGGAAGGTGAGATTTGTTCCAAAACTCTAAAGTTTGTCATATTAGTGTTACATATGTTGCTTTAATGTTATGTCATGCCATGTAAGGAACATGAAGCAACGTTATGGTGTGCTGTTGTGTATCAGTTGGTCAGAAGTCAATTAGTCAAGTTGTTACAAAGCTGTATGAATGTCTTTCTTCTATTGAATGCGAAATAAGATATTTTGAAGAATGTGGGTAATCAAACAGTTGAGGGTCACCACTGACTCCCAACAGTATGGGAAAAATACTATGGAAGCAACAAATATGGGACAAACATATTTTATGTTTAGCTAAAAACATTCTTAAAATTAACTTATTTTGTGTTTAACAGAAAAAAATGAAATAAAGAAATTCATACAGCTCTGGAACAACTAGATGTGTGAGCAGAATTTTCATTTTTGGTGAACTATCCTGTTAAATATATTTTTAAAAATTCTAAAAGTATGTTTAAAAGGGGAAAATCCATTTCGAAGAATTGGGTAAATTCCAAATTTATTTAGTTATAAATTATATATCTTATATGAAATTCCTGCATTTCACTCCAGCTGATGGATTAAATGCTGATTGGATTTAGTAAATAATCAAACACCCTTAAAGGGATAGTCCAGTTGCAGGTAGTCATTGACTTCCATAGTATGGGGAAAAAATACTATGCAAGTCAATGGTTACCAGCAGCTGTTTGGTTACCAACATTGTTCAGAATATTTTCTTGTGGGTTAATAAGAAGAAAGAAATTCATAAAGGTTTGGAACAGCCTGAGGGTGAGGAAATTATGC